AGTTAGTTAATTATAAAAAAAGTGACACATTTTTCCTAAAATACCATAGTCATCTTTCTTAATACCCCTCCTCTCTCTTATACTTAATTATGGTTGAAAGAGTATCCATAGGGGTAATTTAGAGAAAATTGATAAATATGATGAATGGGTCTTATATTTAGGACCAAAATTAACTCAAGAATTGGGTCCTATATTAAAGATCGGAGGAGTATTTAGTTTGGCATGGGACTTTAATTTTTTTCAAAATGAAACTAGAGTCAAAGTCACAATTAATTTAGTTGCTTGAAACACATTGAGGCAATGGCACATGAAGTTACCCTGCTGAGCTCTAAATGGACCCAAAGAATTTCTCTTGTCATTAAATAATTTTATTTCATCACAAATTAAAAGTTGAAGTAAATCATAACAATTATCATTAATATGCAATAGATATTTTTTTTTAATATTACCTCCTGTTTTTAATATAAGAATTTGTTTGACTTTATTTTGGTCATAAATAGAAAATCATAATTCACTTTGTCTCTCATATTTATCTATTTTTCTCCAAGTATTTCTTGTAATAATAATAGTTTTAACTGATATACTTGACTAGTAAGGATATTTTATGAAAGACAAGATCTATTTATTATAAATGACTAACTTAATTAATTTTTTAATCTGTTTAAATTATTAATTAATTAATTCTTATATTAAAAACATAAAAAAAAAAGGTAATATATTTTTCTTTTTCAGATTTAATTTGCACAAGAGGAACGTGGTCCGAGTCCATTCTCCGTGGCCCTTTGCCCGCGACTCTACACCTCTTCCGGGACCCAAAGGGCCAATCAAACTCAACACATCATATGCAAAGCCCGTGAGCCTGAGAATGACGTGACTTGTGTGTGACCCACACGCAGATACATTTACACGCGCACGATGATTACTCAGTTTTTTCCCCCCTCACATTCGTTATGATGTTATTACTAACTATTAAAATTTATATATCTATTCACAATAAATTTTTATATCAACTCTTATAATATAATATTAAAATTTGTAAATTTTCATGTGGACGTTATTTTGTTATTGTTAATTGTTAAAATATATATATGCATTTACAAAATCGCTTATAATTATGAAATATGAACATTTGTCATTTTATTATTATTAATTGTTAAAATACGTATATAGACTTGTAAGTTCAGTGATAAACTTGATCTCATGAATATAAGTAATTTAATCTAAATTTTGTGACAAAAAAAAGCCTTTGTTGGTAAAGATTGTTTGAGAATGTTTAATACGCTGTTGTGAAAAATAGAATGAAAATTAAACACAAACTTGTCATTTCTTAACAGAGAATAAACATAGCTAAATTTTACGACTAATTATTCAAACTTAATATATATTGAAAGTTCGAGAAATAAGAAACTTCAACTAATATTAGCAATAAAACATTAACATTTTATAGAATTGAGATAAAAAATACTGTCCATATTCATATTAAATAAAAAGGACATAATTTTTTTTCCAGTAGCCATTAATCTTAATGAAAATAACTTTGTTCAGGAGATCTTGAGTTTAAATCATTGTAAATATAAAAAAAATGTTTTTGGGAAAGCTACTTCTAATTAAACCTGGCAATACTTATACATTAAATTCTTATCTAAATTCGGAGTAGCATGTGGGATTGAATCATTTGTTAAGTTCCCTTAAAATGACACGATGCCAAGAGGCAATAATATCTTGATAAGTTTCTTATTGTTTCGGCAACTTGTATTAGATTAATTTTAAAACACAATTAAGCTAAGCTTAATCTCAAGTTATTTCCACGTAGTTGGCCATGACCCATGAGAGCTTTTGTTTCGTCTTAAATGTCGTGTTTGTGTGGCATTTATGAAGGGATATGGGCATGCAATATAGCTTCGTGTTGGCAGCTCAATATTCCATATCGCTTTAGGGAAATCAATGCTCAAGACAAAACGTTACTAATTCGGTACACACGTACTCAAATTAAATGAGTGATCTCTAATCACAATAATTGTTGACATTAATGTGATTAATTGGCTCTATTCAAATTAATCACTCTTCTGAAAAACGATACATTAGTCATATATCATGTAGGATGTTGATAAATCATGCATAAATTGATTATTTTTTTTTTAAATAAAAGGCTGCGGATAATTCATGAAAGAGATGGTGCATAAAGACGTACGACTCAATTTATCAAGATCCATTATTTTACGGTCTAAAGAAGAGTTAGCAAAGCATAAATTATTAACACCAAGATTTTAGATGGAGTGGGTGAATTTGCGGTTCGCACATTCATTAACCTTTTTATATGCATACAAATCCAAAATGAAATTCCCAAAATTGATATCGCAAATGACAATTTTGGTGGAAGAATATGGTTAAAATAATACAGGCAGCATGGGCACCAGCACGTCAATGATTCATGAACCAGAAAATGATGGAAAATTCCCATCGGATGATTTGTTAAATACAGATCTAAATATGAGGTAACCCGGAAAATGCATAAACTTCCCTGAGAAGCCTTGTGATGGAACTGGTTGACTTGTTTAATGACAAGGATCGCACGAAATGATGATGGCCAACCATTAATATGGCTATTACCAAATAAGGATACTTTTATGCTCACTACGTATTCTTCATGCATACTTTTCTATTAAAAACTTTCCAGTACTCTCATTATACATATTAATAGGTATAATTTTTCTTTAAAAGGCCAAACACGAAAATACTTAAAACTTTTAGTAAGAATTTCATAAACAATGAAATCATTAAGAATTGTTACTAGTATAAAATACTCTTTTGATATATTACTTATTACTTCCTCTAACTCAAATTAATTATTGTTTTGGATTTTTTTTTATGTTTCAAAATGATTGTTTATTTACTCTTAGTAAGCTATGAGAGATGTAAAACTTTTCGAAAAGTAAGTGATTATTTCTGTTTAGTTCAAAAATAATTTTTTTCATGTTTCAAAATGACTGTTTATTTACTCTTAGTAACCCACTTTCAAAAAGTTATTATTTCTGAATGTTTTATATTAATATTCTAAAATGCCTTTGATAATTAAAAGTTTAGAACACCTAAACCTTTGACATTGTAAATTAGTATATATATTTTAAAAAAATAATTTTAGTTTCTAAGAAAACAAAACATTAAACAAGCAAGTCACACATAAAATTTTTAAAAGTAAACTCTTAAAGCAGTATACCTCTGTTTTTTTCTTTTGGCCTGAAAAAGAAGTGTAGTTCTCTAAAAAGTAATTTCTCAAGCATAAATACTTAAGCCATACAACCCTGAAGAGTTAAATATAGAATAGAAATATAAATTAAATATTCATGGAAAGGATTAGAAAAGGGGTTCATTACCTCGTAGTCAAAACAGCCCTAGCCCAGCAACCAGGAACACGACAAGTGGCTCATCCTTTCATCTTTTCACAAACCTCTTGAAAGTTCAACTTTTGCAGTAGTGGTGGGAATGAAGAAGCTACGCCACAACTTTAGACCTGTACAAGTGTGTGTTGTGTGCCATAAGGTTGAGAAAATTGACAAGGGTCAACAATAATATCATCTTTCCAGTACGTAGCAGCGTGTATATTTCACGGGCATCATGGGGTAACTAAATTAACAACTCACCAACCTAAAGCTAAATCAAAAAACTCTCAAAAACAAAAAGGAGTTCCTTCCGCACCATAATATATATCCAAAGTAGCTGGGTTGGGATTAAACCATCCTCCAAAAGATTAAAAAGGTCTTAATTAGTCCATGTGATGTGAGTGCCAACAATATAGCAATTACCAAGCGTGTCTACCTCACAAATTTTAATCCTTGTACCTGTCTACCTGCACCTGTCTTCCACCAGAGGGAAGAAACAGATTGTCACGGCTCCACTGAAGTACACCTTCATCTATATTCATAATGAACATAATGATAGACCAGAACAATAGAGCAATAGCTGTATCATTATGTTTTATTTAGCACAAAACCGCCTCCATTCCAAGTTTTTCTTGCTGAATATTAATTGCTTTACGATTCCAGCGAATCATAATCTTGTATACGCGAACAGAGAATAGTTTCGGTAATGAATTCTGTAATGGAAATTTAACATGGTAAAGTTACTGATAAGAGAACAGTTTCATAAAATCTGTAAACTTTAAAAAAGAAAATTAGACCATAAATGTACTGAAAGAGCCAAAAGAACAAGTTCAAATTGAATGATAGTTTCTATGTTTTGAACAAATTCTTACTCTTTGTACCAGTGCAAGTGGGTTCAGCTCTGCCCTTCCATTATGTGTTGGGGAAAGATTCTTGAAAGATAATTTTATGGGACCAGTCTTTAATCATAGCCGCCTCTCACATGTCAAATAAACGAGAGCTTCCCCAGCGATGGCCCTTTGTAATTTATGCCAACTTTTTTCCTTCCCGGAATTTCTCCAACTTTCAGTAGTGAGCGGCCTTTCGTACTTTGATTCCCTCCTTTCCAAAAAATACGCAATCTCCATATATTATAGCTTCTTTTCTGGCGTGCAACGCAGTCTTCTCACCAAGTGGCGTAAGGATAACAAGGAATGAATAGAAAGAATATAATTAAAAAACAGTCCACATCTGTACACACACATATATCTCGACCATATATATCTCGTTTTGAGAGCATAGATGAACCACATTACTCATGATTTATAGACCATACAGCTTCCTACTTATATATATATATATATATATATATATATTGATTTCTCTATGATACCTGCCAGTATAAATTCCATAAGCAAGGTATAATCAGTAACTAATCATCATATGTGGGTCACAAATAAAGGTCGGTGGGAATCAGCAGCATTTTAATGTCGGCCGATCCTAATCTAATTAAAAACGAGTGTGTATGAGAGAGACAGAGCGTAGGAGATGATTTAATCTAAGACAAGGCTGAGGCTCCTTCCAAGAACCTCGAGGACCGCATGGGTTGAGTTTGGGGTCACATTCACACTGTAATCTGCATTTTCCATAATTATGAATAATGGCGCATAACGTATTAAAGAAGAGATTAAGACAAAAATTGAAAACAAAGATAAAAAATGTGACGTGCTTATACCATAATGCCAACGTACCAATTTTACAATCAAGTTCATGAGGTGATGATTATCAAATATAATATGTCAGTACCTATTACAGTATGATTAACTCTATCATAAATGTGATCAAACAATTTGATAATAAACATTCAAAACCGGACAAAGTTTTTTCTTTTCTACCATAGCTACCTGGTCCATCTCTGGATTTGGCATTGCAAGGATCAATATATTTCATTCTGAATCCGCCATTGGAAAACTGAGTCTACATACGATTCCAGCTCCACTTGCATCCATGATGGAGCAACCATCAGTAGGATCAAGCCTAACCCCACGGCCGCCATTACCACCATTTGTATCGTCTCTGCATCCTCTTGTACGATCAGAATTCTCTGCACCTCCATTCCAGAAAGCCACCTGTCTGCCACTTCTTATACCCTATACACCTATTTTCCTCATTTCCTTTGTTGGTAGATGATGGAAGATTTTTCCTACGCGCTTTTACCTCTCTGTTTCGTACTTCTTTATTTTGCATTAACTGCGTAAGCTTCCCGATAATTCTTTCGAAGCAGTATATATATCACAGGGATCTTAAGGAAAAGGCAAGTTAAAAAGGGTCTAAACCCGTGCGTCCAAGTCAACAGCCTGACTATATATGTAACCATTTGTGAAGCACTTGCGACCACAAGAAAACATAACCGCCTCTACTGTAGTCTAAGGAATTCAAACCCCATGTCACTTTCCTGTGCAAAAAACTTCTTCCAGAGGTTCTGGGTCGATGAGTTCCAAATGGGAAGTTTTGCACATAGCAGCTTTCTGTCTAGTGATCTGCTGCCATCCCTGGGAGCCCGAATCAACCAAGAAACTAGACTTCGAAGATACATAGTCTCCCCTTTCAACCCCTGGTATAGGTGATGACCCTTAACACAGTCACAATATAAGATCCCTCTTGCAATATTGTGACTGCAACTTCTCATCCGCTATTACTGTATTACAGGGCTTGGGAGATGTTACTGATTATCCTGGTCATCTACTCAGCCTGGATTTGCCCCTTTGAGTTTGCCTTTCTTCCTTACAAGCAAGATGCACTATTTATCATCGACAACACTGTCAATGGCTTCTTTGCCGTTGACATCGTCCTGACATTTTTTGTTGCATATCTTGATAGCCACTCCTACCTTCTTGTTGACGATCACAAGAAAATTGCAGCGAGGTGAACAACCTATCCTTCCTTCAAATAAACATGATTCTCAAAAAAAAAACTCTGCTTACTTCATACGGCCACGCTAAACTTACAGGTACCTATCCTCCTGGTTCATTTTCGATGTCTGCTCAACGGCACCATTTCAGTCCATCAGCCTACTCTTCACGAAACATAGCGGTGAGCTTGGCTTTAAACTGCTTAACATGCTTCGGTTATGGCGTCTGAGACGTGTCAGCTCTCTGTTTGCAAGGTTTGTCATCATTCTATTCAACCTTATGGTCATGGTTTCCATGAGCACTTCCATTTGAATATTGCCGTGCTTAATAGCTCCTCTGTTTCCTCCTTAGGCTTGAGAAAGACATCCGCTTCAATTATTTCTGGACTAGGTGCACAAAGCTCATTTCTGTAAGCCACTAAAGCCCATATGTTTCCTCTTTTCCTTTACAATGTCAAGGTACTTTGCACATGCTTTCCTGAGGATAAAATCTTAATTTGATTGCCCCTTGCATCAAATCTCAGGTAACTTTGTTTGCAGTGCATTGCGCCGGATGCTTTAATTATCTGCTTGCAGATAGATACCCTGATTCTAAAAGGACATGGATTGGTGCGGTGTACCCAAATTATAAGGAACTGAGTCTCTGGGACAGATATGTGACTTCAATATATTGGTCCATTGTCACACTCACAACTACTGGCTACGGAGACTTGCATGCTGAAAACACAGGAGAGATGCTCTTTGATATCTTCTACATGCTGTTCAACTTGGGATTAACGTCATATATCATTGGAAACATGACAAACCTTGTAGTCCACTGGACCAGCCGCACCAGAAATTTTGTACGTACTCTCAAACTGGTTTCTTCTACTCCATTTCCATGTCAACGGTTTCAGTATCCTATGCAAGTGTTATCAATTGTCAGTATATCTAGAAGTCGCCATTATCTCGGACGCTGCTTGAAAAGCTTGTCTTAGATATCCTGGCGACCCCACATTATGAATTTTTTTTAATCCTCAGATCCTAGGAAATTCTATAAATTGTTTCATAACATGGCGCCCTCCATAGGTTTCAGCAATGGGTAGCTGTTCATCTTTGTTCATGATATAGTTCATTCAAATAATTTGTAACCTCATTTCTTACTTCTGACGATAAGAAGCTTGCTCATGGTGCCAGAGAGACACAGTAAGAGCAGCTTCAGAGTTTGCTTCAAGAAACCATTTGCCCCATCACATACAAGATCAAATGTTGTCGCACTTGTGTTTGAGATTTAAAACAGAAGGATTGAAGCAACAAGAAGCACTAAATGGTCTGCCTAAGGCCATTAGTTCAAGCATTTCACACCATCTATTTTTTCCCATACTGCAGAAAGTCTACCTCTTCCAAGGAGTTTCTCATGACCTTCTTTTCCAACTGGTAGTACTCCATACTCGTATTTTTGCTTGATTATTGTAACACTTTGTGTCTGCTCTCTTATGTCCGCTTTGTCCTTTTATCTTCTCACTTCAGGTAAGGGGAAAATGTAGAATTACCCGTTACTAATTTATGTAGGTTACAAAATCTGACGTAGTCCTTTTCTAATAATAGGTTTCAGAAATAGAAGCAGAATATTTCCCACCCAAGGAAGAAGTGATCCTGCAAAACGAGTCTCCAACAGACCTTTATGTACTCGTTTCAGGGGCAGTGGTGAGTTCGCTTACAGATGCATAATTGGATAATCTTGAATCTTGTACTAATCCTACTAATAATGGATCTTTTTCAAATGATTGATTATTACAGAATATTATTCGCTACATTGACGGACAAGATCAAGTACGTCTAATATATAAACACAGCTTATTCCCTTGAGAAATACTACAGAATATAGCTACTTATTCAAAATTATTCAGGTTATCGGTAAGGCAACTGCAGGAGATGCATTTGGTGAGATTGGGGTTTTATACTACAGACCTCAGCCTTTCACAGTTCGGACGCAGGAGCTTTCTCAAATATTAAGACTTAGCAGAACTTCCTTAATGAATGCCATTCAAGCAACAAAAGAAGATGCACAGATTATAATGAACAATCTTTTCATGGTAATAAGCATAGGGTGCATTGCTTCATTTACTCTTCACCTCCCCATTTCAATAAAACGTCCTAATTATTTTTATCCTTATTGACAGAAACTTAGGGCACAAGACATGGGCTCTGAATATTTCCATGAAATGCTTGATGGAAGAAGAATAGGAGGCTGTAGGAAAAATTCAAATGGAAATTCCATAATGAATGAAGGAGAATACAAAGATGTTACAGTCTCGGAGAACACTATTCGTGATGCTGCAGAGGACAGTCAAGGAGATATGGTTGAAATTTTGCTCCAAAGAGACGCAAATGCAAAGAGTTCGATTTCCCAACCACGGACTCCAAAATTTCCAATAGAACAGCAAGAAAACCAGAGCGTTTCTGACCTCTTAATGAGTGGTGAAAATAGGAGAAAATCAGATGAATATAGAATAGATTTGGTCACTAGGAATGATCCAACCAGAAGCAGAAGACATGATGGTCGCAGGCCTATCGACTTCCCAGTAGAAAAAGTATACCCAAACTCTTATTCAGGAAATACCAATGCCCCAGGTGATATAGAAGTGGCAAAAAGCATCAAAAAGAGAGTTACCATCCACTTGATCTGTGAATACTGTAACACTTCTCAGGGGCATGGGAAATTGATACTTTTACCTCATTCATTAGAAGAGCTGCTCAGGGTTGCTGGTAAGCTTTCTTAAACGGCATACTTGGCTACAGATAAACCTATAATTGACAGCAGTAATTGTTAATATGTTGCAAGATCCAAAAGAAATGCACAGAGGAGGGCCTTCCTTTTGTGTTTTTTTCCTTTTTTTTTTTGGGGGGGGGGGTGGGTTGTTGAGTTAGGAAGAACTATTTACTCTGCATGTTTTCTCTTGTATGACTGTTAAGTTGTTAATCTGCAGGTCAAAAATTTGAAGGTTCCAAACCTACAAACGTTGTTACCTCAGAAAATGCAGAGATAGATGACATAAGCATCATTCAAGATGGTGATCATCTCTTTCTTCTTTGCAGTGATAGAGAACATTTGAGTTCATGATGTTACCAACAGAGTTCAAAATGCAGATATGAAAATAGCATGTGACCGCTAGGAAGGTAATGGTATAGTGAAAAGTTAACAACAAGACCATGTAACCAGGCAAAATATCAATAAAGCAAAGAGCTCAGCTACAAAGCCTTCTCATTTTTATTGCTAAAGCAAAAAGTTTTAAAATTTTGCCGTTTTTTAGGGGTTTGCATGTCCAAGCAAAATAAATTGCTTAATCAAAATGACAGAAGCGGAGATGAAATTACTGATGCATCGCATGATTCAAAAATTTAATGCATTACAAGTATCTTATTGTGCTGCTGCCGTCTGGAATTGTTAAAACTGTCTATTATAGTAACCAGCCGTACAACAATTGCAAGAGTCTTAATGTCATACAAACTTACACTGACTCCACACTACAATTCCAATCAACAGATTCATAAATCAGATAAAAGGATCTGAGGTGCTTCTGAGGTTGGATTGGCAGAGAAGCCATGCAGAACAGCATTACTCAAAAGGAATAGCAATTAAACTAGATGTAAGAGCAGATGTAAGTTCAGTCAAGGTTTTAGTAGTTTCTAAAACTAAATAAATAGCAAGCTTGGGGTAAATGAGTAAATACCTGGCAAAAGAATTCAAGACATAGCAAGTCTTAGATGCTATTTGAAGAACGATTGTGAACTCAATTACAAATCATATTTAAAAAATGTGCATATAAAGGACATCAGATGATGGGGAAATAAGCTAATAGGTTTTGTTTATGGCTTTGTTTGAAGAGAGTTTAAAACAAAAGGCATGTAAATGGAAAGTAATGACAGGATCAAATAGAAGGGCTTATGACATCAAACTTTAAATGAACTCAGGTAGGTAAACCGCCTAGGCTAAATAAGGAGACGACAGTCCAATAAGATGCTAAGCTGCTAGGAACGTCAAAATCATCGGTTCACTCTCGTAAGAGAAAGATACAAGAGAGTTACATCAATCCACCGTAAGTCTCCGTAAAGGTCAGCCAAGCGCAACTTCATTTTTTCGTAGCATTCTACGAATCTACAACATGCTATCTCGACATCTACTGCATTCACTCCCAAACCTAACTTCGCTGCAAATGTTAAATCAAAACAAATCAAAATTCTATTTCGGTAACTAATACTGCTGTGACGAGTGTAGCATATTTGCACTATCTACGGTCAATTAGATAGAAAAATTGTAGATGAATTTTATCAAAATGAAGTGAGTCACGGTTTACCTGGAAGAATGGACGATAGCCAAAGTTAGCCTTGTCGTAGTCGACATATTTCTTGTAGTAGTTCAGGGAGTTCGGCCGGCTCCATTCAATCGCTCCGATTTAGTTGTCTGCCCCATTTTTTCCCCACGAGAATTTTGGGCGGGTAATTCAATCACGCCAAACGGTTGCACGTATGGCACGATTTCGTTCACATCCACATATTTCCCGCCCCCGCGCACTTTCACGGCAAAACGAAGTCGTTCTAACAACTGGGCTTACTTGTTTTCAGCCGACAACAAGTGGGCTTAATTGAGTAAAAGTCTGCATTTCAACAAAGGGTGAAAACCATCAAAACGTGCAAAAGTCAGAATTCTTCGTCAAAATCCACCTCGTAGCGTCTCAGTGAGAGGTGATTAAGGATGCAAACAAGTGAGCTTAATTAAATCTATAGTGACAGATCAGAGTTTTTACTTTTTTAAGGGAAAAAAGTAAATTATGTGGATTACGTGAAATAAAAAAAAAAGATGTTCAGTACTTGTGAAAAATTACTATTTGCTAAAATTTATATGCATTGTATATTATATAGTTTTTAAAAAAATAAGATTTTTAATCCTACTATTATAATTTTTTATTTTTAATACGTCTCTAATCGCAATGGTCAATGCATAAACTTTTTGTTTTTATTTTTAATATTCACTAAAGGCTGAAGTCTCGATCATGTTGTGAACGCCTGAACGTTAAACCTTTATTATTAAGATCATGAAATTGATGCGTACCCGTTATTTACCTTAGTCGATGATGGTTGAATCAATTACGTTTATTTTGTTTATTGGTCTTTTCCTTGCCTCTTTTGAGGCTGATAAATAAGGGCCCGCGATAGAAATTAAAGGGTTTTTTTTATTTTAATTATGAAATAGAAAAGAAAAGGAATAAACCAGAAGAAAATTGATCACCAAGTGACAACTTTAGGGCAATGGGTAAGGTTGAATGGGCTGGAGAGTAGCGACGATGGATGTTTACCATATGTTAGACTGCATTCAAATTGAAATTGAAATTAGTGTCACTGGATAAAATGAATCGCATGTATAGGTTAACTTCTGGGATACTGCTAAACGCCTCCTTAAGCTTTCTTTTTTTTTTTCTTTTTTTTTGTAAGACCTCCTTAAGTTTTTATTTGTGCATGAGTTTACGTATTCGATCCTTTGCAAGTCTATTGAGTGCTTGAGTTACTTCTGTTTGATGAAGGATAATAAAAATGACTCTTCATAAATACGTTGGGTGTGTTGGGTGGAGGATGATTAAAAAATTTTTAGTCCATCAAGTTTAACATCATTTTAATTTTGATCTCTAAAGTTTCAAACCATAAGTTTTTGTCTTTTAAGTTTTATTTTATCTAAAACATTAGTTTCTATAATCTAATAAAAATCTGAACCATTTTACTCTTTGAGGGACTAAAATCAAAGTAAGAATAAACTTAAAAGACCAAATATTATATTACCCCTAAAAAAATACTCTTTATAAATACTATCTCACTTTGTTTGACTTTTATTTTTGTCCTAAATATAAGACCCCAATCCATTTTGTCTCTTATATTTATTTATTTATTTCTAAGATAGTCCTTCTAATAATGGTAGTTATAACCAATATATTTGATTAGCAAGAATATTTTAGAAAATACAACATATATTTATTATAAATAGCTAACTTAATTATTTTTTAATCTGTTCAAATTAGTTAAATGGTTCTTATATTAAAAACTAGAGGTAGTATGCTACGTGGGCGAGTTGGAAAATGGTCACAAAATATACACACATCCTCACCGTAGCACTAACGCGAGGATCTAATTAGAATATGTTAGGCCGGCGAACGAAGCGTCCAGATTCACGAGCAACACAAAACTAAGCCTCAATATGTAATGCGAGTAACGCAGCCCATTTAAAGGGAAAGCGCTTCATGAACCCACAAAAAGTGAACTTTCTGTTTTATTCATTTTGCAGAATCAGGCTAAGTACATGGGGAGTTACCCCTTGATTTCAAAAGTCACCAACCCCTTGGAATACCCCGCCATTCTCAATCTCTGAGATCTTCTTATCATCATCGTTCCCTCAACTCAGATTCTCTTCTCATGATGGATGATCTCAATCAAAGCCTCAAGTGCTTGCGAACAACTCTGTTGATCTTTATCGTCATCTTCCTCCTCTCATCCTCTCACGCTACTTCTTCTCCAGTTTCTTCCCCAACCAAACAAATCCAACCCCAAAACGACCCTTCTTCCAGCGTTCCCATTATTTCCAGTCACTACCAAGCGTTCGACCTCAAGAACAGCGACCCCATCTTCCAAGAACGCTTCAAGAAGAGGTCGAAGAAGCACAGGAAGAAGAAGACGGCCAAGAACCTGCGGATGAAGCCCAGGCCTTTCTCTGTGATGCTCCCAAAGGGTCATGTCCCTCCCTCTCATTCGTCTCCTTGCCACAACAAATACCCAACCTCCATGTCCTTCCACTGCCATCTCGACCATAAAAATTGAAACCCCTCCCATGCACAGTCTGATATCAATATCTTCGCACGTTTTCGGTACTTCTCTGGAGGAAGCTGATAAAGATATATATGGCGCAATCGCATGATCTTGGTTAATATGCTTTTCAATTTTCCTTTACATTTTTTGTTTCTTCAGCTGCTTTCTTTTGATCTTGTTTCTCTTTCTCCAGCTTCAATGGAAAATATGACTCAAAAGGGGGGATGCTAAATGTGCAAGAATGTAATATGTCAGAGTACGTTATATATACAGTATAATAAATAGAAAGAAGCCATGATGTACCACTGCTAGCTCCTTGTTCATTATTTCTGCACATACTGGTTCTGTTATGGGGGCACTATTCTTCTACCTTCTTGTTCGATGTTTTTTTATTTTTCCAATTTCATAAGTAATTCTTTTACTGAAGGGTGGTATATATGTTTCTTGGAGTATGTAGTATTAGGGCGTATCAGGACTTAATTAGAATATAATGGGGTGAGAATATATATATATATATATATATATATATATATATAAGATAGCCGTTTAGCGCGGGCTCAGGTGAAATATAGAGGGGAAATGAGCCGGGAAATTAGAAAGAACCATGTGAAAATGTTTCGTTGGGCAAAGCAAAAAAATGGATTTGTAGTTTCGTGGCGTTTACTTTCTTTCATTCATGCATTGCGACGCTCTCCTGACGATGCGCCTCACAAATCCAGAAGACGGATCTATGTCCCAAGATATTAATTGTATATACCTCCTTAAAATAACAGTGAAAATATGACTTTTATTTGAGTTCGACAGCTTCATAATCGTAACGAGGAATTTAATTTACCTAGAGGAAAAAAAAATACGAATATCATCGACTCGAGCGATCTACGAACAAAAAGATAAACTAACTTCAGAGGTTACTATAGCTTTTACTTGATTTAGATTTATTTAGCAAGGAGAAGAACGAACAAGTTCAAACATACAATTTATCTACTTAACTTGCAGCGGCTTATTTACTATCTCCTGTCTTTAATATAAGATCCTGTTTGACTTTTATTTTGGTCCTAATTAAATATAAGACCCCAATTAATTTTATCTCTCATATTTACTTAATTTTTTCCAAAATAATCCTTCTAATAATTATAGTTCTAGTCAATACACTTTATTAGTAATGATATTTTGGGAAAGACAACACTTATTTAGAATAAATAACCAATTCAATTTACTTCCTTAATCTCTTCAAATTAGTCAACTGGCTTTTATAATTATGACCGGAGGTAGTATTTATTTTTTGTATGGCTATTTGATTGATTATATTGAGTCGGATTCAAATATTGTCAAACTCAAGTAAAAATAGGTACTTGATCTCTTGGATTTACATGAACTCAAGACTCTGTATTTAAGAAGGTTAAGCTACTTCCACTCAAATTAACACCTATTAGTAGGCGGCATCTTCTTCTATACTGTGCAAAATTCACATACCACTAAGAAATAGACGCGCATAAAATAATTCAATGTATCGCAAAAAAAAAGAAAGTGAATCTATCTATTAAATTAAATTAAAATGCGTGTTATACAATACTCCATTAATAACGGCAAAACTTTCATCACATCAGTGCATGTTACTTCTATGAAGAGAAGCAATGCCTACTATGTAATTAATACTAGTACAAATTTTAAAGATTAAACCTTGCAGCTTTTGGTTAAAAAATAAAAACCATTATAACTCGATCTATTTTTTTTTAATAATGTATAGCTCGATTTAGTCGAACGATAGCTTTAGCCTTGTCTTCGTCTTTCATTTTGCTTCGGCCTTTTGCCTTACCGGACATTGCACGATTACAACATCCCGCAGGAGACACATTCTTGATTTCTTGTGGGTTGTGAGGCAACGTTCATGTCCTGATTGGCAGCTTCACAAAGCCAATACTATGCTACATTCGAATTACTCCTCTCGTCCTTAATATATGAATTAATTATTGAGTTGGTTTTATTTTTAAATATAAGACTAATTTATCATATTTATCAATTTTCTCTAAATTATCTATATGGATACTCCCTCAATTATAATCAAGTAGAAGAGAGAGATAAGGTATTAAAAAAGATGATTATGGTGTTTTAGAAAAAATGTGTCACATTTCTTATAATTAACTAACTTACCTAACTTCCTTAATTTAATCAAATTAGTTAAATGGGTCTTATATTAAGAATCGGATGAGTAGTTAGATTTAATATAATTTTGGCTGCTGGGTGAGATTTGATTATTAAAAAAACAATACATATAAATTTATCACGTATTTCGGTATAATTATAATTTATATGTTCAAGACATTTAAGACTAAATAATTTCCCCGTAAGACCGTTAGTTTTTTTTATTTTTGAAAAAATGTATATTAATGTCCCTGTATGGGTTTCCCTCTTCTTCTTCTTTTTAACTTTTTTAAAAATGGGCTTCTCTTCTTCTTTTTTTTTTTTTTTGGGGCGTCGAGAGTGGGGCGAGAAAGCATGCGTTGACGAGGCGGGGCGATAGGATGATATGAATACGATGGCCAGCACGCCCCAAAATGCCAAACCGAAGAAATGTCACTGAGGAAAGCCATCGAACACCTTCAGTGCCCTCGTTCGTCTTTCCTCAAAACTCTTTCTTCGATTCCTTTCGCCTCTCCTTTTTCCACGAGTTCACTGCAACGGCCATCTCTAAAAACTACGAACCCAATCCAACTTCTAAACCACCACGAACACAAAGACCAGGACCCTTACTCTCTGCTCAAAGAAGATCCTATTGATATATGCAGCTCTCTTTGGGTCAAAACCTTCTCCTCCCCACCAAACACTACCTTCCCCAACCTCACTGGCTTTCTCTCCAAATTCGATCTCTGGGTTCTGGCCTACCAGCGATCTTGCGCCCATGTGACTGGTACTTTTCCTCCCCGAAACGCCATTCATTCTCATGTTCTGCGGGACCTGCTCTCTCTTCGGAACGCCGTCATTCACGGACGATTTGCATGGAACAAGAAGACCCAGCAATTCATTCGCAGCCCCAATGACAAGCCTCTCTCGAAACCATTGTCTAAGCGCAAGCTTCAAGCAATTCTCGAGTCCAGTGAGCCTTGTTTTCAGGACAGGATCGTTCAGGAGGTGTTGTTGTTGATTTTAGAGCCTATTTTCGAAGCTCGGTTTTCAGCAAAGTCACACGCTTTTCGACCTGGCCGAAGTGCCCACACCGTTATTCGGACAATTCGGAGTAATTTTGCTGGCTATTTATGGTTTTTGAGGGGCAATTTGAGTGAGATTTTGGAAAATGTGGATAAAAATATGGTGATGGGTTGTCTTGAAAAGGCTATCAAGGATAGGAAAGTACTGAGTTTGATCAAATCTGCACTTAAACAGCCGGTGAGACGTAAGTCACATAATGATGAAACTGAAGAGTCGAAGAAGGATAAGAAAAGGAAAGGTACTAAGAAGAAGATTCTCAATGAGAATGAACCAAAGCCGGACCCATATTGGTTAAGGACATTCTACAATTTTGCCCCGGAGGAGGCTGCTAAGGTACCATCTTATGGTCATTGTGGAATTTTAAGTCCCTTACTTGCTAATATTTGCCTTAATGAATTGGATCATGTGATGGAAGAAATGATAATTGAGTTTTTCAGACCGTGCAAGTCTGACTCAATATGGAAATATTCTATTGATGATGGCTGTCATAACCCTGCTTGGCCAGAGTTTGTTCCATCTAGTGGGAAGCAAAAAACTAGGAAGATGGATTACATAAGATATGGAGGTCATTTCCTGATTGGGATCCGAGGTCCTAGAGAGGATGCTGCGGAGATTAGGAAGAAGTTATTGAATTTTCTGAGGATGCGTTTGGGATACGGTTGGATAATTCAAAGGTGGAGATCGAACATATTACAAGGGGAATCCAATTCTTGGACCATATGATATGCCGAAGGGTGATACATCCAACCTTACGTTACACAGCTTCGGGAGGCAACATAGTGAGTGAAAAGGGTGTAGGAACTTTGCTTTCAGTCACTGCTAGTTTACAACAATGCATTCGCCAGTTTCGGAGGCTTGAGTTGCTGAAGGGAGACAAAGACCCTGAGCCGCTGCCATGTACTCCTATGTTGTATTCAAGTCAAGCTCATACGAACTCCCAAATGAATAAATTCCTCGAGACCATGGCTGATTGGTATAGATATGCTGACAACCGTAAGAAAGTTGTTGGGTTTTGTGCATATGTAATTCGTAGCTCTTTGGCTAAGTTGTATGCTGCTAGGTACAGGCTAAAATCTCGTGCCAAGGTGTATGGAATAGCTTCGAGAAATCTTAGTCGACCTTTGAGAGAGAGTAGCAACAATTCTGCTCCTGAATATTCTGACCTTTTGAGGATGGGGCTGGTTGATGCAATTGAAGGTGTTCAGTTTTCACGGATGTCTCTAATTCCTTCTTGTGATTACGCTCCATTCCCAAGGAACTGGATCCCAGATCATGAGAAGGTGTTGCGTGAGTATACGAAACTTGATAATCCGAAGTCTTTTTTTGACTTGCTTAGGTCCATTAAACAAGAAGGTTTGAGTCTTCCTCAAGATGAAATATCTCAAATGATGTGGGATTTTAAGACTCTAGGGATTCGTCATTTTCAATCTGATGGAGATAAAGAAAGAAAAGAGGATTTAGAAGAGGCACATGGGTAGGTTTACCAGTGATTAAATTAATGAAATATTCCTATCTAAAGTTTGCACCACATCTTTGGCTGTTTATTAGAATTGTCAAGTACACTTCAACTATTTAGAGTGTGAAGGCCCTTCAACTAATTTTCTTTAGTTGTTGCACGAAGTTCTTGCTCATGCTGGGATAATCCATATATCTGGTAGGATGCATCCACGACACAGGTGCAACTGACATGAGGTTGTTGTAATGGGATTGACATTATAGAGCAGGCCAAAAGGTTGATTTGGTATTTAACTGAATGTATCAGGCTACAACATGCCTTGGCTGTTGGCAGCTTTGTGGGTTAAAGTTGGAGGGTGTGAAATTTGTTGAAATAGTGACTATTCATGTCTCCTTAGATCCACCACTTACAGATTAATGTCTTGTAGGATTTGATGACTTTGTTTCATCTGAAGACTTTGGTTACTTAAAAACACTGGTCATGAAGTACTCAAGAGGAACTGTATGTGCTGGGGACATTTGAGAGTTAAAAGGTTACATCTTTGGAATACCCAAAAGAAAAAAAAATCATCTTAATCTACTACTTGTTATTCAAGTTGGCTGGATTGCTGGAATTCTTTGTGGATATTGGTGCCTGACCAATTACAGTTGAAGATTCACTATTCTTCAAAAGCATGTTTGGCGAAAGGTTATGATGATAGCCAGAGAAGTGTATACAGTGTAACGTAAATAATAATTGAGAGTTGATCCATGAGCTTCTGGCTGTTTGTTTTGTAGAATATGAACAACAACGTTCGATGGGTGACTTTGAAACCAATTAGTGGAGAGAAAGAAGTGTGTACAGATTTCATCTCAACTTCCCTCTAGCTTCCCTGTAACAAATTTGAATTGAGGATTTCAACTTAACAATGTTGAATAGTGTTTCTTGGGCAAGCGCAGAAGAAATGTTTACTTGTGTCTTACTGTGTTTATTTTATTAGAAGTTATCTTGGCTGGAGATAGGAGGTCATCAGGTAATGCTAGCGTGGAGCAGTGGCAGTACTAGTTTCTTTAAAACTTGATTCAGAAAAATCACTCGAATCAGGATGCTTTATTAACAGGATTTTCAATTTCCAATTTTTCATAGTGCCTGGCCTTCTCATTCCTCCTAACATTCAATGTTCATGTGTCTGTTTGCGGAGAATTTCGTCTTTTTCGAGTGTCAAACGTGTTACTTTCACGGAAGATTCAAAACGTTATGCAACTGTGTAATGCAGAAACGTGAAAAGCTGGCGAGGTTGGTGGCTGGCCTTTTTTCCCCCGCAGGGTTGGTATTGGTAAATGATGCGGGTGTTTTTTTTAATATCAAACAGCATTTTCTATGGGGCTTTCAGGTTAGGTCATTTGAAGCACAGGTTCAAGCTGTGGTCTCGTCTCTTATGAAGACAATCATTGAATTACTTTATGTTTCTGTTATTAATGTCATTTGGCCGTTTTATATATATAATATAAAGAATCACAACAGTTCAACCTTACAAAAGATCAATCCACGCATTCAGCTTCCCAATTTCAGCTAACCTTGGCGCAAGCAACAACGTATAGCATTGACTTTCTTGTTCAGGGGAATCTTGGCTTAAACATAAATATCATCAGTATCAATCCATCAATATACAGAAGAGATTATTTATAAATCACGATTAGTATAATTAGTATGTCACAGCACAAATTCTATACAAGGCAAACTCGATTACTTGGGCAAGATTTGCTGTTTCAAGCAGTCGTATATTACTGGAAATTGAATAAAAAGATCAAATAAAATAAAATCCTTAAATTACATTTTTATTTGGATTGAATTATTCCATCTGATGGAACGAGCCCAAGTTTTTGGGGTAATTCTTCTTGCCTTACTGGTTACCATCCCTCTCCTCTTGTTCTTCTTCTTGGAGTTGAAAAGCCGAAACAGGAAAGGATCTGGAGATGCCGCTGGTGTTAGCGAAGGTAATCTTAGCGGAATCAGGATCGTCTATGAAGATATCGGAGATAGTGACCCAAAAGAACAGCTCCTTGCTCTTCACCCCAGTCACCTTTCTCATCCGGTGCTTCTCGACGAAGGCGGTGACCTCGCACTCGTACGAAACGGTGCGTCGAATGGCCTCAAACCTGTGCTCCTTCCTCTGCTTCTGCTTGAGCCAGACGAAGCCAGTGGAGCGATTGTGACCCACCTCGATGATGTCGTCCAAGGGGAGCAATCCTTTGGGCAGGCAAATCTCATCCAGCAGCTCGCGCGACTTATGCTTGCAGAGATCTTCGCCATGGTAAATCTCAGCGTTGTCTCTGTGGGTTGCGATCAGCCGTGTGGCCATTGACGCAAAGCTAAGAAGAGCTTATTTGAGGCTTGAGGAATTTCGCTGAGATGGGTTTCACAATTAAGTACAAGGCCTTATATTGGGGGAAAACAGAGAATATATCGTGAAACAGAAGAGGAGGAGGAGGAAATTTCAATGGAAGAAGAATCCAAGAGACGCAGCTAGTGGGAATGCGATGCTGGTGATTGAATGCGATTGGCGTGATTGCGTGTATTTGTCACACACAAATCGTTTACCCAAGAAAAGAAATGTTCAATATTTGGTTTTGCAAAATTAACTACATTTTATATTGGGAAAATGACATTGAGGTCCCATGCAACACAAAATACTACAAAAAGGTCCCAGGAAATTTGGTAATGATTTTGAAGTCCCAAAGGGACTTCAGTGCAATTTGATGAATTACAAAATGACGCCTCTGCCCCTGGTGAAATGCCTTGTTTTTCAGTCTGAAATGAACACTCTGTACGCAGGAAGCAAGAGAGAAAAAACCCAAACTTCATTCTGCTTCTTCTCCCATTCCCATCTGAAAATCTCATCCACTCTATTAATGTTAATCATTGACAAAAATCGCTTGTGTTTTTGGTTTGGTGTGTGTTTGGTCATTCAAGTTGGGGTTTTATTATAGGTGGGTAGGGTGATTATGGGTGTTCTGTTTCTGGGTATATTGTGGGTGGATTGAAGGTGGGTTTGCTCTGTCTGGGCATGGTTTAGGGGGAACTGATGAGAAAGATGAAGGTTGGTGTGATTAGAAACCCTTACTGCGAAATAGGAAAATATGTTGTCAATAGAGCCGCGACAGTTGTCAATATAGCTCCTTGACTTGTCAATAATAACAGCATTGTACAGATTTACATTAACTGATTTTTTAAATTTTTTACACAAAGGCCATGACCTTCTGTACCTTGACTCATTAGTAGAGGTCACAAAAAGAGGAAGAAGAGGCAACAAAGAAGGGTGAGTAGTTACATGAGGCAAAACAAAAAAAAAAGCCACTTTGATCCTAGACAAATGATGGCAAAAGAATTTTTTCATAAATAGAAGTGACATAAATTTTTTTGGTAGATGTCACAACACACACAAATAATTAGTTTAATACTGGATACATGCAACTATTTGTTTTTTTTAATGGGGTTATAAAATCAGTGTAATTACCTGTATATGAAGTTGTAAATGAAAGTTAGCTGTGTATTACATTCTGATGCATAGTTTGTTGTCATTATCCACACCCTTCATTGTCAATACATGCTTCGTCACTTGTCACTCACTGCACCATCAGTTGTCAATTAATGTACTGATATAAATTTTAAAAAAAATATGATTTTTATTATATAATGTTATACAACGTCATACAATATCACTAATTCCTCAAAACTAATATATTTTTTATAATATGATATAGAATAGCTATTAAAAGTCAATAATCATTGATATGAAATCATAAAATCACTTGTCATAAACAACATATTCACTTGTTAATGGTTTCAGTGTAACTTGGCATGTTAGATTCTGCTGTCATTTCAATCGTCATTATTCGCACCCTACATTGTTATTAGACCTATTATAACTTGTCAATGGAGCATTGTAACTTGTCAATTAATTTGCTGATATAAGTTGTCAACAATATGAATTCAAGTTACATAACCTGTTTTAGTATCATATGATATCTTTAATTACTCTGTCATATTATATTTTGATTATATTGTCATATATAATTATTATTAATGAAGTGTTAATGATGGCACTATGACTTGTCAATGGAAGCATTATGATTTATCAATGGTGGCACTATGACTTATCAATGGTAGCACACTGACTTGTCAATGGTAGCACTGTGACTTGTTGTTCACCGAATAACTTCTCGAAAGGTTTGGGCACTGCGGCGGATATGATTAGGTGCCCCGGTGCCTTACACAGAATGGCAACTCCTTGGGACAGATGGGGGTGCCGCGATAGATATGGTCAGACGCCGCAGCGGATTATCAGTTGTCAATGGTGGCACACTAACTTGTCAATGGTGGCACTGTAACTTGCCAATAGAGTACTGTGACTTGTTAATGTAGGCACTGTCTCTTATCAATTGAACATAAATCTGAGTAACACCTTCTTCTTAATAATTATATTTTAATGCAAATATCACTTAACATTATAAATAAATGACACCTCCAGTTATAAAAATTTTGAACATTAATTATTAATATTCACACATTCATTTGTTATAAAATTGTTATATTACTTGTTATTAACTTCTATTATATTATTTGTTATTTTGGATAACTCAGGTTGTTAATTTCTACGCCAGATGCTGTTGAGCTATACACAACTGAGAATTTCAAAAGAAATGAGTCACTTTCTTTTCTAGCAATTGATGATATAATTTCCCTCAATTCTTTATAACTTGTGCCCTCCTTTATATTGTTGTTCTTACACTACCTCCCACATATCTCATATCATCTTCTCTATCATTTATAAACTTTCTCTCTATGTGAACAAAGCAAAATATATGCTTTTCAGATGTATTCGCTATCAGTAATTTAAACCTGCATCAAGAATCATGCAACTGTCATTGACAAGTTAAGGAGCTACGTTGACAACTGTCGTGGCACACATTGACAACTATCACGGCCTGATTGACAACACAATATCCCATTTCGTGCTAAGAGTTTCTACCCACACTAAACTTCATCTTTTTCTTCCTTTGCTACTAAACTAACATCAGCACAGAGCAAAACCATTAACAAGTGAATTTGTTGTTCATGACAAGTGATTTTATAACTTCATATCAGTGATAATTGACTTTTAGTAACTATTCTATATCACATTATAAAAAATGGATTAGTTTTGAGGAATTAGTGATATTGTATGACGTTGTATAACATTATGTAACGAAAATCATATTTTTTTAAATTTATATCAGCACATTAATTGACAACTGATGGTGCAGTGAGTGACAAGTGACGAAGTATATATTGACAATCAAGGGTGCGGATAATGACAACTAACTATGTATCAGAATGTAATACACAGTTAACTTTCATTTACAACTTCATATACAGGTAATTACATTGATTTTATAACCCCATTAAAAAAAACAAATAGTTGCATGTATCCAGTATTAAACTAATTATTTGTGTGTGTTGTGACATCTACCAAAAAAATTTATATCACTTCTATTTATGAAAAAATTCTTTTGCCATCATTTGTCTAGGATCAAAGTGGCTTTTTTTTTTTGTTTTGTCTCATGTAACTACTCACCCTTCTTTGTTGCCTCTTCTTCCTCTTTTTGTGACCTCTACCAATGAGTCAAGGTACAGAAGGCCATGGCCTTTGTGTAAAAAATTTAAAAAATCAGTTAATGTAAATCTGTACAATGTTGTTATTATTGACAAGTCAAGGAGCTATATTGACAACTGTCGCGGCTCTATTGACAACATATTTTCCTATTTCGCAGTAAGGGTTTCTAATCACACCAACCTTCATCTTTCTCATCAGTTCCCCCTAAACCATGCCCAGACAGAGCAAACCCACCTTCAATCCACCCACAATATACCCAGAAACAGAACACCCATAATCACCCTACCCACCTATAATAAAACCCCAACTTGAATGACCAAACACACACCAAACCAAAAACACAAGCGATTTTTGCCAATGATTAACATTAATAGAGTGGATGAGATTTTCAGATGGGAATAGGAGAAGAAGCATAATGAAGTTTGGGTTTTTTCTCTCTTGCTTCCTGCGTACAGAGTGTTCATTTCAGACTGAAAAACAAGGCATTTCACCAGGGGCAGAGGCGTCATTTTGTAATTCATCAAATTGCACTGAAGTCCCTTTGGGACTTCAGAATCATTACCAAATTTCCTGGGACCTTTTTGTAGTATTTTGTGTTGTATGGGACCTCAATGTCATTTTCCCTTTTATATTTAAGGCAAACTTTAGATGAGAGAGCCAATATTTAATGATTTTTCTCATAATATAATAGGGGAAATGAACTCGGCACGCTCTCTCCTGCCTGGTCAGCTTTTTCCCTGCAAAAGAACTCTTGATATCTTTCCTTCCTTCATCTGTCAGCGGATCTCCTTTGTACTTAACAAAGACAAAACCAATCATCAGACCAGTTTCAGTATCCAGACTCCTTATAATTGATGTGAACATTTCGATTTAAAATTTTTAATTAATCATTTTTAAATAAAAAATAATTTTTTAAAAAGAAATAGTTAAGGAATTATCTCTATTTTAAATTTTATACATATTTAAATAATTATTTTAAACAAATAAAAATAAAAAAATAAAATTCGAATTATTCAAATAAGATACAAACGATTCAGATATGATGAGTTTAGAATACTCTAATCAACCATAAGATCCTGTTTCTTTACAGCTCCACGTTTCATCCTCTTCTTGAATATAATATACACTAATAAATTGCGAATTCTTGGCTTGTGAGCAAGAAAGCAGTGATGGGTGACAAAGAAAGTAGTGATCAGATCACTGATCATCATCGTCCCACATAACAGAAAGATACTTGTGACACTTGCTGCCATTCACGTACGGCAAATCAGATCCTACTCTTCTGGTTCGGGTGGCAGCCTTCCTGTTCGACACTTGATGGGCGTGCCTGAGATTGTGTCGAAACTCGACCACCACTTGTTCGAAGACTTCAGCCTCAAACATGTTGAGCCTCAGCTTTGGTCTCATGTGATCTCTCACAAACGCAAATGCCAGTTGGTCTCTCGGGTTGAATCCTTCCAACTCGTTGAAAATCAGACACGACCACAGGTTGCTTCTCAGTCCATGCTTCCTAAGTATCAGAGCACTGTCCGGTACATCTGCCACATCCATCCATTTCACAAATTACTACCACCTTGTTTTTTAAATTTATGATTTTTTATATAAATATTCCTAGTAATTATACATAGTTCTCATTAGAAGATAATTTCAATGCACATGATTAAAAATGGTCTTTTAAAAAAATCAACACACGTTTTGTTATAAATTAACCAACTTAACTAGTTTTCTTAATCTTCTCAAATTGATTATTTAGTTTTTATATTAAGAATGAGATATAGTACATTTTTTATAGATTATGGTTATTTCAAGTTAGATAACCGAGGGTCTTGACTGTGCTTGATACTTTCTAGATGCAAATCCCATTTATTTTGCCGAGAGAATGAAGAGAGACTTCATCCTCCTCATGTTTTCCCGAGGCTCTATCAACTGACCTTCCTTGGATGAGCCGTCCCTGTTAAACTCATCATGATTATGATATTGATCATAATGATCCTCACAGCACGCTAGAGCGTTTCAAATTCCTAAAAATAATCATTCGGATAAAGATTTCCACCTCGGCTCCTCCTAACTTATTAATTAATCCCACAAATACAACCCAAGTCCCTTCAATTGTGGAATGTCTACTTTTATAAGCTTCGAATTTAAGCAAATTTGATTACCTTTACGACAAGTACGCTTACTTTTTCAGGCTCAAGCTAGCTATCTATCACATCATTTTCAAATACTTCATAATGCGGTGACCAAATATATCAAGGAGCCAAGTCCTTCTCAAATAAGCAACACAGATGTTAAACCTTCTAGTGAATCTCATTGAATCTGATCCGAATTGGATCCAACTTGCAAATAGGGTACAAGCAGTTTCATATATTCTAACTAAGTTTCATTTTAAAAACATTTGCATAGCAAATGAAATCCCACGAAGCATGCATGCAAGCACAAGATGAACAAAAATTTAACAAGACTTCATATCTATTTTTAACAGGCGAGCTTTTATATTAAAGAAGTACGAAAAGAATGAGAGCAAGTGCAGAGAAATATACCTGAGGCATAGGGCAGCTTGGAGGGGCTCCAAGGTTGGAGGCCATAGTCACAATAGGTCTCCATCTGCAACTTCAAGGCGTTAACATCCCACCATTTCTTCCACCTCGCGGTGGCCATGGCTTCCTCCATTGTATGAACATAATAAGGGTGTTTTGATATGGCTATGTCCACATTCTCAGATATCACCAGTGAGTGTATCAGCAACAATGGATCCACCACTAATTGCAGCTTCGCATCGACCCATATGCTGAACTTGGAGTTTGGGAACAGCCTGTGAACTAAATATTTGGGTATCACTCCATTCATTGCTGGGTTCTCATACAAATCCTCCCTTGAAACCTTCACAAGCCTCCATGCTCCTACCTTGTATTCTGTTGATTCTGATGAAACTATTCCGTGGTATTGAAGCCCTTTGAGGGTGATGTCGTCTATGAACATGAAGAAACATACATAGTCTAATGTTTTGGATCCTAAGCCTCTTGGTTGTCTCACCTTGTCGTGGTCGTTGAAGAGGGCTGAAACTACCACCAGACCATCACATTTCTCCATCGCCATTTGATCTGAACCGAGACATAAAAGAACAAGCACTTCGTGTAAAGTTCAGAAACAACAAAACACTCTGAAAATTAATGCAGAAGGTACTAAAGAATGAATGATTTGTAACAGGACAAAGCTCTGAAAATTATGCCCTGAATTACATCATGAAAGAAAACAAAGCACTTTAAGGCCTAACTAAGTAGATAGACAGCAACTTGGCCTGTTATTTTGTGCACAGGGGGAAAGAGAAGTGAATTCAGAATATCGGTTTCATTCAAGTGAGACATACCAGAATCTAGGATTGGAAATTTCTTGAGGAATCCACAAGGAATTTTCCGGTCATCATTTTGATGATCGAAATAAGAAAACCTTCTCTTGGCACTGAAATTCCCACCGAAACTGTCAGAATTCCCCTGCATATACTTAAGAACACGCGGGGAAGATGAAGACTGATCGCGGAAATTCTGGACATCCTTCAAAGCATCCCAGTAATCTAGAATCAAGAAACCATAAATCACATTTTTTTATCAAAAAACAGATCAATTATAACGAAGAGGAAGGATTAGAATTTAGAAATTACCTGAGAAGAAAACAGGGGAAGAGCAGGTGGAGCGAGTGGTTGAAGCGGCATACTTGTGGGGATGATAAGAGGAATTGTAGGAAAAGAGAGAGGAATGGATAGGATCGAAGGGGGATGATCGGAGGAGGCATTTGGATTGAGAGAGAAAGGTGTAGAGAGCAAGAGAGAGGGAAGAGAAGAGATAGAACAGAGAGAAACAGAGGAACTTTGAATGGAGAATGAGAGGTTTTGAGGTAGTTATTATCTTCCCCATAATGCGTCAGATTCACAGATTTCGATTCCTTACATTTTCCTATTTGATCTCGCAATCACGTTTTTCTGGAGAAAAAGTCATCATGAGCATGAATGAAAGACTCAAAGAATGTTCCATTTTTGTGGCTTTCGACTGCCAACCAGTTTTGATGTTGAAGTTTTGTCAACAAGTGGGAGAGTGCCAACAAAAACAAAACGAAGGGACCAAACAACATTAAAATACTAAACATAATCCTCCCTGAATATATATTTCTATGTTATGTAGACATATAGCATAGTAAATTACGTGACGTGACAGAATGGAATGAACGACGCAGCATGAGGATACTGTGTAAAAAAAAATTGAATGTTACCATTTCCTTTTCTTTTTTTCTCATGGTTCGTCTGTTTCTTTTCATTTGTCACTCATAAAGAGATTTTTATTCTGCTTAACATATGTCATTTTAAAATTTCAAGGTAATGTCAATCATTATTTTCAATTATTTTATTGTGTTCATTAATAATCAGAAGTCTAGTCTAATTGGGAGGTCAGGCAAAAGAAAAATCTAGTTGGGAGGGGTCTACTCTCAGAGTACAATATTTTGAAAAAATTAATCTTTATTGTTAGCGGATTACTAAAATAAATTAAGAGCACATCGAGAAACATAATTTCAACGTAACATTGTAGTTTTAATAAAATATAGTAACATCCATTGACCATTGAAATAAAAAAGGATTATAACATCATTAATCACCCATTGCGGATCACACAAAGTCACAAATGGATGATTATAATACAGCTGCTCAGGACAGGAAAAGATGGAGGGACACATTATGGAACAAACTTGTCTCCTCAGAAGTTATATAGAGATATAACATTCCTCTTTAGCAGGGGCGTTACTTCAAACAATGAGAGAAGAGGTAATGCCTTCTTCTTCTTCTTCTTCATCACACAACATTCTGCTCACACATGAAAAAACTCACAGCAATCATATCTCTCATATGCGGGATTTCTTTTTCGAATCAGTCTCTTCAATGCCAGTTTTAAGTTTCATCACCCTGTTCTTGAATGTCTGGAAATCGGTAATGTTGTCGATCGCCTCACCCAAAGAAGAAGAAGACGATGATGGGGGCTTTCTAAGATGGAACAGTTCTCTGATTTCATTGAACTCTTCCCAACATTCCTCAGCTTTTTGGTCGTCTCCCAGCATTATGTATATAATGGCCTGTCAAAATGTTCAAATGCGTCCCAGATTTAATTCTGAGTAAGTCCGAGTTCAACAGGTAAGAAGAAATGAAAATGTAAAGAACAGAAGAGAAGACCTCGTTAGTAGAGGAGTTGTGCGTACCTTGTACAGTGGACGACGAGCGTCTGAAATTTCTTCATGCTTCAAGCAATCACGTTTCAGGGCTTCTTTATATTTCCCCTGCATATCTCAGATGAGCAGTTTTCTATTCCTTTCATTAATAGTTCTACATAAAGATGCTCATCGTTGTCAATGTTGATTATGATTTGAAACTATTTAAGCATATTAAGTGGGAAGATAACAGAAGAGAAGGAAGGGAAGAGAATAAATATTTCAATTAACTTCTCAAAATTGTCCCCTTTATAGGGAGGTCCAGGGAACTGTTGAAACATCATTTATATTCTTTTTTTTTCCTCCATCATTTCAAATAATCTTAAGCAAAAGAAAATGATAGCATATTCAAATCTGACAAATAAGAAAATTAAAAGATTTAAAGTTCAAAAAATTCGTATAAATGACCATCTTTTTAGAGATATTATAAATGAAGCTGGACTATTGATTTTTAGGGTTGGGCATGTTGAAACTCATCCCATTTATAGAGAAACTATTATTCATACAAATTATTTAACGAAGAAAGTTCATAGGATGGAAAAAAATTTTGTATCCTTGATCAATCATCACCTTTCAAGAGGTAGAGGATGATGAAAAATAATTAGGTAAGTTCTTGTCTTTTATATGCAATTTTTTATAATAATAATAATAATAAGATTCGTGTGGATAAATTAGAGAAAGATGGAAAGAAATTTATACCTCATAAATAAGCAATTCAACAAGAAGCATGCCAATCTCGTAGGCTTCATGGGGATTCTCAGAATGGGCCTTTTCAGCCTTTTTGAGTTGCTCCACTGCGGCGGCTACTCTTCCACTCTTTTCCACCTTTCCCACAGTGCTCTGCCAAACAAGTATTTAGAAACTTTTTTTTCCTCTTTTTCCCCCTATTCGCCGACATTTAGAGAAACTTCTTTCATAATAAACATATACTCCTATACACACACACTACTTCTTATTAAAACCTTATTTAATTTTTATTTTAATCTTAAGTATAAAACTCCAATCGATTTTGTCTCTCATATTTATATATATTTTAAAAAATAGTCATTCTAACAATATTAATTTTAGTCAATACACTTGATTAGCAAGAATATTTTAGAAAAGACAACACCTATTTGTTATAAATAATTAACTTAACTTCTTTTCTTAATCTCCTCAAATTAATCAATTAGCTGTTATAATGAGGACTGGGGGTGGTATATATACATGTATATAGAGAGAGAACTGTCCCCTCGCTCGGGGAAACTGTTATTTTTGCAAAGGGAAATTTGTCATTTACTATTGATATTTTTTTTTTCAGGGTCAAATTTCAAACATTAAAATTTGTAAGACAATGTCGAACCTACCTGCAGCTTCTTCAATTCAAGATGCTCCTTAGCAAGCAATCCCTCCATTACAGAATCTGTTCTGTCAAATTTAGCTGAGCTTGGTTCAGCTTCATGATCGTCAAACAATCTCTTCAGTGCTATATCACCACCGTATAACTCTCTAAAGGTCTTGGACCTTGTATCAAGAGTCCGAGGCTTTCTCTTTGACTTCAGAAGCTTCACACAGATCCACACAAAACAAAAGCCACCAAGGATGACCAAGGGTACTGCAATTTTGGCGGTTTCCCCATACTTAGAAACTAAAGACAGAGCATAAGTTGACACGTTTCCGCAGTGACTGAGAAAACGAGAAGAAATGGGAAAGTTTTCTATCAGTTGGTTCATTCTGGTGGTTTTCTAATTTTCCCTCTTCACTTGTCGTATCAGCAGAAGACCAATTTAAATGCATGCCCCTCCCCCACATAAGCTATCAAGCTCGAATAACATGAAGCATTTTGATTATTCTATACTTGGCAAATGGGTAAAGCAAAATTATATTCACAAGAAGAATAATCCACTTTTGCTGTGAGAAATCTCAGACTTCAAGCAAAGATTTATGCTCGCTAATAAGTGAAGGCTGACAAAAGCAACTAAAGCTTTGATAACCCATCATGAACGTGTATCATACCGTCGCTGTCATAAGCAGAAAGTATCTCTCACTGGACAAACTGAAGATGAAGTATTTTCCACATATTTACTTTTCAAGTCCTTTGATTAAATTATAACATGCAGAAGAACTACCCTACTGGGATGTAAAAGAAAAGGCATCATACATTGCATCTTTTTTTTCTTTTCCTCTTTTTTGTGGTGGTTATCATATACTGCATCTTGAGTAATTTGAAGGCAGGGAGCTAAGAATAACTTTTGTCCTTGTACACAAGGCATCGATGCCCGTCATGTGAAAAAATTTGTATCACAGTAAAATTCAGAAGAAGTATCTCTTGTGAGCCTTTCAAAGCATTGATTCTGGGTAGAAAGCAACGAACTGATATCTTATACCTTGCTTCATGGCAGCAAAGTCTCCCATGCAAATTTATCATCATATCAGAGTCTGGCTTATAAATAGAACAGGAGGATGCTTAAGCACTATTGCATGCAAATAAATCTGGGTCCTTTGTAGCTATCCCATAAGATGAACTCTCTAATTCACCTCAGCCAAAATCCTCTGAGTGTGGCTCCAGAGCGCCTCTCCTCTGCAAGCAGAGTTCATGTCAGCTTAAGCCATGGCTCTCTCAGTGTTTCCCAGTGGTGCAAACAAAGCCCCTTGGTTTCACGTCCATTATACGTGAAGTGCTCGCTCGACAGATGTTCAGAGGGGACGAAGATGAAAGAGGAGAATGGGAAGAAGAACAACATATTGAGAGGAGTGGGAAGAGCTTCTCTAGTGCTGGCTTGTGTTCTTGGGGCCTTCACTCTCAGTGGCATTAAGATGAACCCCAAGCCCAATATAGCCTATGCCGCTTGGTATCAAGATCGAAGCCGAAGTTCTGTAGGCAGCCCGAAGAAGAGCTTTTTGAAAACAGATCGTCCTGACGTCAATGAGATTGAAGGCCTCAAGGTTCACAACCTTCTACCATATCAATCAAATTACTACTAGATTTCTTTGAATGAGAATGAAAAAAAACAAAAGCCCACGGAGGCCAGTGCGGCATTTAAGCGAACAGAGAGAGACCAAGGTAAGAATGTAACTGATATATAATTGTTTGTGGATGTAGTTGTACGCAATGGCTCTATCAATGAACGAGGATTATGAAGACGTAGCGGTAAAAATGTTGAGCGATGAATGTGAAGGGTTTAAGGATAGCGAGATGTCAGGTGCACTCACGGTCGCGCTCATTGAATTGCTTTTGTATCAGGTACTCCTCTTCTCTGCCTCCACCCGCATCTTCTGAAATGGGAATGGACAAAGATTCTTTCTGTTTTTTAACATCGGATTAAGGAAATTGAGATATCATGCATATCAGTGTGAATATATATATATATATATATAAGTGACATTGTTTTAATTTTTAATACTGAGAGCTCGCTTGAACGCTTACTGGCTTGTACAGAAGAAATATGCAGACGCGAAGCAAAAGATTGAGGAGCTGCTAGCCGATGTAAGTGCACTAATTTCGCCTTATTAACGCAAGTGGTTGTTATTTCCTCAATCTGTTTATGTAATAAAATTATATTATTCCTTTTATCAGCATCATTATTATTAATGTGAATGACACCCACCAGATTAAGCGGAAAGGCGGTTCCGATGTGCCAAAGGAAAAACTTTATCTCCTCAAGGTTTGTCACATTTCGTCTCATTAAAAATGTCCCCCAACTTTAAAATTTCGTAATTTAAAAATAATAAAATTATATTTATGTTATATATATATATATATATATATATATTATGCAATGAAGTAGTAACGGTTGTGAGTGGACAGGCTATTGCAGAATCCAATATGAAAGGTGACCAGGCAGAGGCAGAGGCGAATAAATCCTGGGAACTTTACCTGAAAAAGTTGAGCTCATCTCCTTATGCGGTCAAAAGATAAAAAGTCCCCTGCCAATTTTCGGGAACACTGATCTTCGATGCACCTAAAATCCAAAACAGCATCATATTTCTGCTTTTTGCAATCTGATTTATTCATATGATTAATAAGTGTTTGTTTGTCAAAACAAAAAATAAAGAGGAAGGGTGAGATTGAGACATTAGCTTCACACTTCATCAATACATGACATGGAATTCAGATCTTCTTAATTTTTGATCGTGCTTGAATTCCCAACTTTCATTTTTAATATCCAACATATTATGAGCAAATATCTTCGCAGTTGTTTGTACTTCATAAATTCAAGAATTTCGCTATACGAACTAATGTGGTATGATCATTGGCTCTGGCAAATTTTGTGTACTCCCAACATGCATGGTCTTGTTTGGGTCATAAATGATGTTCATCAAGTTTGCTCCAATGTCACTATTCTGCGTGTGCTGGGTATACTATCATGTGCTTTCACGAATGCCGGTTTTAGTCAGATATTAAATATAAAAACACTGGATCAAATTAATTCTGGGAATTAATTTTTTTAGCCCAAAAAAAAAAATCCTTTTGCCGAAGAAATTCAAGAGATCAGAATGTTTGTGCTGGAGAACCCGGATGTTGTTGAACTTCAATACTCTTAAATGGACATTGTGAGAATTGCATATGAACTTGCAAAGACAACCGAATGACGATCTCTTACTTTAGGAGGAATAATGGTTTTTTGAAATAAAATTCAATATATATGTAAGCCTCTATATTATGCTTTCTTTAAAGGCCTATTTCTGTCCATTGTATTCGAAAGAAGAAGAATAAAAAAGTCAAATTTTCATGTCCTGATTGAGCTGACTCAAATAAAAAAAGAGGTTTTAAGTCTTAACACAAATGAAACTACTGGAAGCTTTATTATAATCCAATTTCCATTGCCCAGGTTGATGCTAGTGTTTGCTGTAATTCTTCAAGGGAAGTCCTCATAAGAGATTAAGAGCTTTATTTTAGAACCTATCCAACATGGTCTGATGCAGTGGGAGCTCTCTCTCTCTCTCTACACGTGTATATGCACTATAATCTTGACGTCAATAGAAGATATGAAGGCCATAACCCGTTACGTTATTCATCAGACGCTACCAGCAGTGAGTTATTTTAAGACTTCATAGCATTCGTACCATGAACATGGGCCCATCTAACTATGTATATTAATAACGATAACGGGGTGTTTGGTTATGGTTTGGGAGAAAAATCACCCAAACACCATTAAAAAAAAAAACCAAAAGCATGGTTTTCTCTAGAAACCATGGTTTTGGCAGAAACAAAAAATTTTTGCTTTTGGGAGAAAAAGGAAGAGTGTGAGAGCTTATAGGATATGTGCTTTATTGTTTTTTTTTCCCAGACGGATATACCCTTTCCAATTATTCATCTCTTTCTCATTGTTTCAGACGCAGTACAAGGGAGAACCTGAGAGTAGATCTCAATAATAATATGACTTTAACACCCATCAATTATTTTTTATAAACATATTTAATCTTATATCTTATATATATACACATATTAATTATTTATTAATTATATTATCTTATGTGTTATTAATTATGTTGATAAAAAATATATTATGAACAATTTTATTCCTTCAAATGAAAATATATCATAAAATCTATCTTTTATGTAATTATCATATTAACTTATGTCTTTTTTAGTAATTTGTATATATAAAAAGTGCTTCTGATAACAACTATCCAAACATTCTCACTTCTCAGAATTACTTTTTCACTAAATCTATTCTTCACAAAATCTATTCTCCCCAAAATCTATTCTTCAAAAGCTATTCTCCAAACCATGGTTTGATTTTATCCAAACACCCCTAAATAATTTGCTGATGGCACGTAGCAATATAAGCAATAAATTAAAATACCATATATTCCTTCCCAAAAAAAAAAGAGTCAAACTTACTGCAGATTTTTCAAATGAAGATGATCACCATCAAGTCTTTGAGACTTGTAAGGTCCTCACTTGAACTTCACAAGCTCCAAATATATCGACAGACACCCAAAAGCAGCAAATTTAAGGACGACCAAGGGTACGGCAATTTTGGCAGCTTCTCCATATTTAGAAACTAGAGAAGTAGTACTTCTAGATATTGACTTTCAAGTCCTTTAATCAAAGCATAACATGCAGAACATAAGTACCAAGTTGTGTGGTAAAAGAAATTAAAACATATGATTTTTTATTTTTTTTATTTTTGCCAACAGAAAACGTATGATATATATACACAATACTTCTGATAGTTATGCTGCCCCTAATGGTAAGTCTAATGCACACAATAATATTTCAATAAAAATAATATTTATTTATTATAAATAATTCAATTATTTTTTTAATATTTATAAATTAGTTGTTTAATTTTTATATTAAATATAAGAGGTAATATATTATATTTTTGTTGCGGAATTTGAAAGCAGACAGGCAAAGCAAATTATTTCACTACGAGAATCCTCCGCTTTCCCTGTGAGAAGTCTCCGACTCTAAGCAAAGATATATGCGCAGTAATAAGCGAAGGCTGACAAGACAGAAGAAAAGCAACTAAAGCTAATCCGATCATTTTTGGTCAACGAGTAACACGTACCATCCTTGCGGTAACCTCGCCAGAGAGCTCTTTTATGAAAAAGTGCGATAAAAATGATGAAAATAATACTTAAATTTGAAAATTTTTATTTGGTTATTTGAGTAATGAAAATTTTCATTTGAACACACATGATTAAATTAGGATTTTGAAATTTATTGAAAAGACCAAATTATCTTTTAAACTTTTTTTTTAAAAATCATCAAGCATCCTTACTGGCCGATCGCCAGAGCTCTGGCGCTAGCAGCCACTGTCAAGGTCAGACGGGCTGCTGATTGCTTGAGCTCTAGTGGCCAGTTGACGATTGCCTAAGCTCTCGTGGCTGGCCGACGACTAGTCATCGGAGCTCCCTCTGGTAACCAACAACTTTTTTTTTTTAGATTTTTATAATGCTAGTAACGCAATTAACAAGTTCTTTAATGCTATTAGCAAGTTCAATATACCAGTTAACAATGAGTTTTTTAAGAAATTCAAAAATTGATATTTTTATAACATTAGTAATGTGGTTAACAAGGTTTTTAATACTATTAACAGGTTCAGTATATTAGTTAATAATAGGTTTTTTAGAAAATTCAAAAAGTTGTAGTTTTACAACTTCAATAATACAGTTAACATATCATATAACAATATTAACAACTCTTATAGCGCCATTAACAACTCTAATAACAAATTATGTAATGATATTAATAACTCTTATCATCATAGTGATTGCCTAATAAATGAAAAAAATTTTGTTGCGTAATTTTTATGGGGAGCTAATATTAAAAAAAATCAACCTTCATAGAAAATTTTGTTAATGTCACTATAAGAGTTATTAATATCATTACATGATTTATTAACCACATTATTGAAGTTGTAAAAATTAACCGCATTACTAAATTGTAAAAATGCCAATTTTTTAATTTTTTAAAAAATTTGTTGTTAACTATTATATTAATAGTACTCCTCCGGTCCTTATTATAAGACCCAATTTGACTTTTTATTTGGTCCTAATTATAAGACCCAATCCATTTTGTCTCTTATATTTATACATTTTTTTCCAAGATAATCCTTCTAATAATGATAGTTTTAACCAATATACTTAATTAGCAAAGATATTTTAGGAATGACAACACTTATTTATTATAAATAACCAACTTAACTTACTTCCTTAATCTCCTCAAATAAGTCAATTGGGTCTTATAATTAGGACCAGAGGAGTATTAAAGAACTTGTTAACCACGTTACTAAAGTTGTAAAAATCCCAAAAATATAGTTGCCAATCATCAGAGCTCCACTAACTTAATAGAAATTTTCATTATTCAAGTGACTAAATAAGGATTTTCAAATTTAAGTACTCCTCCGGTCCTTAATATAGGACCCAATTATTAAGTTGGTTTTGATCCTAAATATAAGACCCATTTCTCATATTTATCAATGTTCTCTAAATTACCCCTATGGATACTCCCTCAACCATAATCAAATAGAAGAGGGATGGGGTATTAAGAAAGATGATTATGGTGTTTTAGGAAAAATGTGTCACTTTTCTTATAATTAACCAACTTACCTAAGTTTCTTAATTTAATCAAATTAGTTAAATGGGTCTTATATTAAGAACCGGAGGAGTATCATTTTTTCATCATTTATATATTTACTTCTCAAGTCCTTTAATTAAATTATAACATGCAGAAGAACAAGAACTATACTGTGCTGAGTCGTAAAAGGAAAAATGCATTTCATAGATTGCTTTTTTATTGAGGAATTTGAAGGCAAACAGCTCAGAATGACTTTTGCCCTTGTGCACAACGCATTTGATGCGGTGCGAGTGGAAAAGTGTGAGCCACAGGAGAAATCCTAGCAAGTACCTTGGAAGCCTTTCAAAGCATTGATTCTGGGCAGAAAGCAATGAAGTAATATCTTATGCCTTGCTTCATTCCAGAAAAACCTTTCAGGCAAAGTTTGTAGCATAGCAAAATCCGAGTTATAAATGGAATGGAAGGACCATATTAAACATTACTGGATACAAACAAGTCCTTTTGTCTTTTGTAGTCTTCCCTTGAGATGAACTCAGCAATCCACCTATACCAAAGCCCTCTGCCTGTGGCTCCAGGGCGTCACTCCTCTGCGAGCAAAGCTCATGCCAGATTAAGCCATGGCTCTCTTAGTGTTTCCCAGGGTTCCGATCGAAGAAGCTACTTGGTTTCAAGTCCATTACATATGAACTCTAGGCTCCACGGATTCTCAGAGTGGTCCCAGCTGATGAACGAGGAGATCGGGAAAAAGAACAATATAGTGAGAGGAGAGAGAGGAGCTTCTCCAGCGATGGCTTGTGTTCTTGGGGCCTTCAGTCTCCATGGTAAGATGAACCACAAGCCCATCTTAGCCTGTGCTGGTCAGCGTTCAGACGCAACCGAAGGTTCTCCTGTGGCGGGTCACTTGAAGGAACTGATGCTGATGACGACCCCACCAAAGGATCGGTTCTTTGAAGAGGAGCCAGACGAAAATCAGATTGAAGCCCTCAAGGTTCACAACTTTCTACCATATAAATCAATTATTGTCAGAGGTCAATGCAGCATTTAAACAAACGGATAGAGGTCAGCAAAGTAAGAAACAAACGTGCAAGAATATAATTTGTGTGGTACTGTGTTTGTGTAGTTGTACACAATGGCCCTATCAAAGGATAAACCAAAGCTTGCGGCAGATATACTGCGTAAAGAACAGGCACAATGGGCGAGCGGAGAAGCCGGTGATCCATTGTTAATGGCGCTCGTTGAATTGCTCTTGTATCAGGTACTCTCCTCTCCTTTGTCACTTCACTTCAGGCCTTTTGCTTGAACCTTGAAGAACTGTTGGGAACAGGGTTTACCAATTGAATTTGGGCATCAAATCTTTTATATTGAATTTTACTAATTAATGGAATTTCCAATTGTCGTCGCTAATTTGTAGAGTGACTCGCTTAATCAGCTTATAACTTTTTTTTTCCCCCCGGCACAGGAGGATTATGACGAAGCGAGTAAAAAAATTAAAGATCTGAGAGAGGTAGGGGGATGATAATTTTGGCCATAATAATTTGTTTGCATGAAATAATTGGTGAGTCACCCATGTTTTGTATGGAATATGAATATGGATGATGGGCAGGCAGTGAAAGAGGATACGCAGCCAGAAGGCCCAGAAGACCCAGAAGACCCATTTGCTTCGACGCCTACCAGTACCAAGTGGAAGAAATTTTATCTTCTCAAGGCCTGTATTCTCGTCAATTCCTTTATTCCAATTAATTAATATACTCCTCCGATCCTTATTATAAGACTCAATTTGACTTTTTATTTGGTCCTAATTATAAGACCCAATCCATTTTGTCTCTTATATTTATACATTTTTTTTCAAGATAATCCTTCTAATAATGATAGTTTTAGCCAGTATACTTAATTAGCAAGGATATTTTAGGAATGACAACACTTATCTATTATAAATAACCAACTTAACTTACTTCCTTAATCTCCTCAAATAAGTCAATTGGGTCTTATAATTAGGACCGGAGGAGTATATATATACATCAGTGTGTGTGATGTAAAATTCATGAGAAATTCTGATCAAAATTTTGATCCATTATTGGCACAACACAGGCTGTTGTAGATTCTGTAAACGAGGCACGCCAAAAAGCAGAAGAGAAAGATGCTGCTGCTGGGATGGCAAAAGCAGCACTGTGGCTCATTTACTGTGAAAAACTCGCGGCGTCACGTGAGGCGCCTAAGCCGGAAGAAGGCGGCTTCCCCACGCCAGGAGGAAAATCCAAGAGACCTTAATTCCTCTCCATACACATAAATTAAAGCATCACCATGGGATGATTGAGCTTTGAGCACTTGAGAATTAAATTATTTAAAATAATAAAATATCATTATTATCATGATCTATCCCAAGGAAACAAAGGTACACTATTGTCACTTTCTGGCTATCACATGTATTTTCTCTCTCTATTTATGGAGCCATTTTTTTTAATTAAAATTTGTATATGCTTCTGTTTCAATTTGATTTAGCTTGTATTTATTATAAATTAGGTTAATTATAACTCGTTTGGTCCAGTCCAACATGATTGCTTCTCCCTTAGTAGGAGGATGACTTACACTCTGTGACTGTGATCCTGATTCCAAGAGTTTTCATCAAAAGCCATTAATGTATAATCACTCTGACCCATAACACGGGACAATTCTAACACGTGTATCATGCACTTAGGGATTTTTTTATTTTTTTACTTTTGGGAAATCTCATTAAAAAAATTGACCTTTTAAAAAAAAACTAACAAAGGGATAAATATTGGAGGATATTTCTTAAAATTACGAGATGCCTTGGATATTTGGGCTAATCCTGCATTCCTAGGCAGTGCAAGCCGCAAGGAATGCCTTTAGGCCCACGTCCACACATGATGATTTTAATATACTTTTTCATCACACATTCATATACTGCTTTTTTAATATTAATAATTAAAAACTAGACCGCCATTGTATCCAACCAAAAAGAAAAAAGAAAAAAAGAAAAGAAACCGGACCGCCATTAAACCAGCCATTCGTCGCTTGATGCTTGAACCACTCAAAGTAATATATTCCCATTGCGTACGGAATTGTTTAAATAATAAAGATTAAAAAACTAATGTCAAAATCTATATGACAAATTGACTTCAACTAAAAACAAAAATTACTAACATGTTTTTAATCACGTTTCCAGAGTTTTTTTTTTCCTCCCTTTTATAACAATGTGTGTAAGATGAAAAATTTGATTATGGGTTTGTTTTGTATAGCGATAGAATTTACTAAATAATTTAAAAGGGTTTTATTCGAATTACATGAATAAATAAATATGAGGATTCACTTGTGATCCCAAACGAAAGGAAGCAAGCGTAACACTCCCGTGAACACAAAACATCCGCTCTCATGGTCGCCTCTTCCAACGTCACTCTAGAATAAGTACTTTTATTTTCTTCCCTGTATTAATAAAAAAACTTCACCTTCTTCTTATCGTTGTTCCATGTTTTTCTGTAAATGTCTGGTTTCTTTTTCTGTTTTATGAGACTTTGTATATATTTTTATTATATTTTGATAATTATAAAAAAAGAAAATTAAGGCAGGTACTAAGAAAGAGACAACATGGCAACAAGTATCTTTCTTCATGCTCACGTGAATTCAAGATTTTAAGGTATGATATTGATGAGGATTTTTTTTGCCTCAATTGGATTACTTTATTTTTTTTCGACTTTTGGAGGGATGCTTGGATCCCAAACCTACTTGATTCCCAAATTCCTAGTGATCTAACCCCAGATCCTATAGGAAATAGGAGGGTGGAGAGTGCAATAGAAGAAGGGTGTTGGAACCTTAAAGAAATCTTTCTTCCTAATCATGTTAAGCAAAAGATTGGCTCCTTAGTATTCCAATTTCTGGTGTAAAGGACAAGGTGAATTGGTTAGGTAGCTCCAATGGTATCTATTTGGTTAAGCTAGAATATAAGTGGCTGAAGCAAAAGGAGATGCATGCTGCTGCATCTGGTCCTAGCTCTTTTAGGGTGTCTCCTAAAGAAATTTGGAAAGTCATTTGGGAGTTAAAGGTCCAACCAAAGATTAAACACTTTCTCTGAAAAGTCTATAATAACGCCTTACCTTCTATGGAAGCACTTTTTAAGAGAAAATGTGCTTCAGCTCCTGTTTGCCTACGATGCTGTGGGGGTGTGGAGTCTATTGAGCATTTACTTCTGCTGTGTGAGAGGAGAGAGAGGAGCTTCTCCAGCGATGGCTTGTGTTCTTGGGGCCTTCAGTCTCCATGGTAAGATGAAACACAAGCCCATCTTAGCCCGTGCTGGTCGGTATTCAAACCCAACCGGAGGTTCTGTGGCGGGTCACTTGAAGGAACTGATGATGATGACGACCCCACCAAAAGATCCGTTCTTTGAAAATGAGCCAGACGACAATAAGATTGAGGCCCTCGAGGTTCACAACTTTCTACCATATAAACCAATTATTGTTAGAGGTCAATGCAGCATTTAAACAAACGGATAGAGGTCAGCAAAGTAAGAAACAAACATATGCGCAAGAATATAATTTGTGTGGTACTGTGTTCGTGTAGTTGTACACAATGGCCCTATCAAAGGATAATCCAAAGCATGCGGCAGATATACCGCGTAACGAACAGGCAAAATGGGCGGGCGGAGAAGCCCCTGGTAAATTGTTAATGGCGCTCGTTGAATTGCTCTTGTATCAGGTACTCTCCTCTCCTCTGTCACTTCACTTCAGGCCTTGTGCTTGAACCTTGAAGAACTGTTGGGAACAGGGTTTACTAATTGAATTTGGGCATCAAATCTTTTATCTTGAATTTTACTAATTAATGGAATTTCCAATTGTCGTCGCTAATTTGTAGAGTGACTCGCCTAATCAGCTTATAACTTCTTTTTTTTTGTGGGGTACAGGAGGATTATGACGAAGCCTGTAAAAATATTAAAGATCTGAGAGAGGTAGGGGGATGATAATTTTGACCATAATAATTTGTTTGCATGAAATAATTGGTGAGTCACCCATGTTTTGAATGAAATATGAATATGGATGATGGCCAGATAGTGAAAAAGCATAATGAGCAAGCACCACCCACATCGGCTGCCATGCCTTTCAAGTGGAGAAAATTTTATCTTCTCAAGGCCTGTATTCTCATCAATTCCTTTATTCCAATTAATTAATATATAAATCAGTGTGTGTGATGTAAAATTCATGAGAATTTCTGATCAAAATTTTGATCCGTTATTGGCACAACACAGGCTATTGTAGAATCTGTAAACGAGGCACGCCGAAAAGCACAAGAAGAAGAAGAAGATGAAGATGGTGATGATGATAATGATACTGGGAAGGCAAAAGAAGCACTGTGGCTCATTTATTGCAGAAAACTTGGGTCACCTGGGCTCCCTGGGCCAACAGGAATCCATATGTGACCTTAATTCCTCTCCATACAGACAAGTTAAAGCATCATCATGGGATGATTAAGCCCTTGAGAATTAAATTATTTAAAATAATAAAATATAATTATTATCATGTTTTATCCCAAAGAAACAAAGATGTACTGTTGTCACTTTCCGGCTATCACATGTATTTCTCTCTCTATTTATGGAGCCATTTTTTTAAATTAAAATTTGTATATGCTTCTGTTTCAATTTGATTTAGCTTGTATTTATTATAAATTAGTTTATTTATAACTTGTTTGGTCCAGTCCAACATGATTGCGTGTCCCTCAGTATGAGGATGACTTGTACTCTGTGACTGTCATTCTGATTCCAATAGTTTTTCATCAAAAAGCAATTAATGTATAATCACTCTGACCCATATCACGGGACAATTCTAACACGTGCATCATGAATCTTAAGGATTTTTTTTTTTTTGCAAATCTCATAAAAAAAATTTACCTTTTTAAAAAAAATAACAAAGGGATAAATATGGGAGGATATTTCTTAAAATTACGAGTTGCCTTGGATATTTGGACTAATCCTGTATTCCCAGGCAGTGCAAGCTGCAAGATATGCCTTTTAGCCAATGTTTTAAAAGCCGGACCGGAAGTCGAACCGGAAAGATCAACGGGTCATGGTTCAATCGGTCAAATCGGTCGGACCGTTTGGTCAGACCGGTGATGCAATAATTAATTTAAAACAATATTATATACATATAATTAGTATATATGAAAAATATCAAATTATTAAATAATTTAGAAATGCATTTAAATAATCTAAAATTATAATGAAATCATTGAAAATGGACTAAAACCTTATATATTTAAATTTATGTATGTTTAAAATATTTAATGATATTACAAATTATCAATTCATTCAAATCAAAATATTTTTTTAAACGATAGACCAAATATCAAAACAAAAAGACTAGCGACTTACGATTTTAACACCACAATATATGAAATTTTCAATGAAATAATACTCTATGGTTATAAATAGTCTAAAAATATATTAAGATATTTAAGGGGATCAATTTTTTTATTTTTCTTCTTTTTTTTTAAATTTTTAGTATTTTTTCAGTCAGGCTAAAAAACCGTCCGGTTTTCTGAAAACCGTTCCAGTTCCCGGTCCAACTCCGGTTTCCGGCTTAATAACGGCTCAACTCCGGTCCAATCCGGTTCAACTATATGAACGGTTTTTTGGTCCAAACCGAGCCGTTAACGAGTCCGGGTCACGGTTCAACCGGTTCGACCGTCCGGTCTGGTCCGGTTCTTAAAACATTGCTTTTAGCCCACGTCCACCCAGAAGCTTGGGCCAACCAGTCTCAGCACGCATGATGATTTTTTTTTTTTGGGGCGAAAGCACACATGATGATTTTAATATCCTTTTTCATCACACTTTTTAAATATTAGTAATTAAAAACTAGACCGCCATTGCATCCAACACAAAAAAAAAAAGAAAAAGAAAAAAAGAAACTAGACCGCCATGAAACCAGCCATTCGCCGCTTGATGCATGAACCGCTCAACGTAAATATATTCCCATTGCGTACGGAATTGTTTAAATAATAAAGATTAAAAAACTAATAACAACATCTACATGACAAATTGATTTCAAGCAAAAACAAAAATTACTGACATGTTTTTAGTCACGTTTCCAGAGGTTTTTTTTCCTCCATGTCATAACAACGTGTGTAAGATGAAAAATTTGCTTATGGGTTTATTTTGTATAGCGATACAAATCTTTAAAAATAGTCTTCAATTATATTTTACTAAATAAGTTAGAATAGTTTTATCTTGAATTACATGAATAAGTGAATATGGGAATTTAATTGTGATCCCAAACAAAAGGAAGCAAGTGTGACACTCGCATGAACTCAAAACATCTGCTCTCATGGATGCTTCTTCCAACGTTACTTTAGAATAAGTAATTTTATTTTCTTCTTTGTATTAATAAAAAAAATTTACTTTCTTCTTATCATTGTTGCATGTTTTTTTCTCTAAATGTCTGGTTTCTTTTTCTATTTTATAAGATTTTGTATATATTTTTATTATATTTTGATAATTATAAAAAAAAAGGAAAATTAAGGCAGGTACTAAGAAAGAGACAACATGGGCAACAAGTATCTTTCTTCATGCTCAAGATTTTAAGATATGATATTGATGAGGAATTTTCTTTTCCTTAATTAGATTAGTTTAATTTTTTTCTGTCAGAGGAAAAAAGCGACTTATTACAGACTCGACGAATCCGGACAGAGACCACATCTTTATAGAGGAATCCCATCCCATCCAATCCAATCCAATCCAAATCTAAATCTAAGAAGTAAAACAGAATTGACATCCCTGAGAAGGAATAATAATGGAGTCATAGATTTAGGCCGATATATTACCGGGGGAATTCCAATCAAATTTCATAAAAAAAATTACAAGAGGTTGTTATTCTCTATTATAAGATTTGTCATTACAGGCTGTTTAGATTGTTATTGAGACTTTTTAGTAATTATTTCTTTTTTGTAGGATTTGATTGTAATTCTTCTTATATCACCTGTCTTTGTTGACCCCGTATATAAATATACATATACATATATCGTCGTGCCCTGAACATATGACTGTCTCTGGTTTTTTTTTTTTTTAAAAAAAAACATAATCATCTTCTGCGCCCCTACGCATGATCATGTAACTGTGCACATACACTTCAACTACAGGTACATGGAGCCAACATATAATTGAAGAATTATCATGATATTTTAACGATAAAAAACGTATTTATTAAAAAAACAAATATCAGTATAGAAGATGATATTGGTCAGTTCTTCTATCCACTTGATATTGAAACTTATTTGATAATTACATTCATCTTTTGAAACCTTGTAATAATTTTCTTAGTTTAATTTAATTTAAATTTTTTTAACAAAGAGACAGTTTTATTTAATTTTGAAGATTAAAAATACATATTTCAAAAAATATTACTTATCTGGTTTTTAGTATAAAATCTAATTAACTAATTTAAGTAGAGTAAGGATGTTAATTAAATTAGTTAGTATGATTTTTTTTTAAAAAATACCCTAACCAATTTTTTTAATTCCTTCCTTTTATTTTCTACTTTACTATTGTTTGAAGAATATTAATAGAATTAATTTGTGAAAAAAATTAATGCATATCAACATGTAAGGGCAATGAGGACATTTCCATTAGGAATGACCATAATTTATCACTTCACAGCATGGTCCATGAACGCCCTCCCCCTCCCCCTGTTAAATTTCCCCATCTGGGCGCACGTGTCATGATGACGGCGCAGGCACAGCCTCCCAGAATCTCCTCAAGAATTATATATATGTCGATGCCTTTTCAATTATTTATTCACTTACCTGGACCGCCTGCTTCCATGTCGGGCCGATGTATCGTGTCCAATCCTCAGGAATTACAAATTGTAATTAACTTATTTACATAGTCATATTTTTATATACTTCATTCGGTCCTAACACAGGTGATATTTTGGTCTTATAAACAAATTTTAATTTATAAAATTTTTTCAAAATATTTTTATTAATTGCACTTATGAGTTTTCATCAAAAGATACACCCTCTATATCCTTTTTATAAGAGTCTGATAATTAAATAAATATGTAAGAAATAAACTTTTTTTAAAACATGCTTTTATTTATAAGAGGCAAATAAAAAAGAGAAAACATGGGAAAAAAAACATATCTCTTGTATTTATAATTTTTTTCAAACTACTCCTATTGACTATGGGGTGGTTAGTTCTTCTTTTACAAATAATGGCTGAATTAAAAAATCATGCTAAATAAGAGTACTTTGTGAAAAGCATGTTACATTTATTATTAACTAATTTTTTAATATATTTAAATTAGTTAAATAAGTCATACTCTAATTTAAAAGTAATTATAACACATATTAAAAATTTGTTTGACTTTTATTTCGGTTATAAGTATAAAACTCCAATCTATTTTGTTTATCATATTTATTTATTTTTTTAAAATAATCCTTGTAATAATAGTAGTTCTAACAAATATATTTAATTAATAAGAATATTTTTAAAAAAAACACCTGTTTATTACAAATAACTAAGTTAGTTAGTTTTTTTAATCTACTTAAATTAGTTAATTAGTTTTTTATATTAATAGTAAGAATCAAAATCGAGTATTCCCTCTATGCTCGATTCTAAATGTAACACCATTTTGTAAAACAGGTCTTAGCTTGGGCGAATAACGTATATTGTTGTTCCTTGTTAGGGCTTGCTAGGAGAGTCAAATATGATTCTGGCTGAGGACCCAGCCTGGACAGTGGACGCCATTACCCTATTCAGTTTGCCATGTCCTAGGTGTCCACGCGTGCACATTCCACGACGGGACAGGGAGGGAAATGACCTGCAATTTGGACACGTGTTGGTTCCTGTTGTGCCACGTTCAATTCACTTGGGCGGTCCCCTGAGTTAGGGCCCAGAAATATTACGTAGGGACGCTGCTTTATGACCAGTACTGTGGTCACTGGTCAAGCCACTGAGAGAGAAGGCACCTCGATACTCCACTACGCCCCCAAAAAAAGAAAATCTCAGTGCCCCAACCCAAATGGGACTCTCCTCACCTTCTTCATTTCGTTGTCATCAAATTAAACTGCGCAACTCTTTGTAGTTTTTCCGGGAAAATTAATCAAGACCGTCAAATGTTGTTTGGCGACCAAAATGTGGAATGGTCACACTCTTCTGTCCCTGTTAATTAATGTGCGTGCTTCAATCAATGGTCCTCCACTTCCAATAATTCCATGATGATCTTTAAAGTTATCCTGCGAACCTAGCTGCCTAGCTGGTTTGATTTCCTGGCCAGATCTACCTGGTACTGTTCCCTGGCACTCCCATAACCTAAAGCCTCTCATCTCATGTTCCTCCTCTGGCTATACACTAGACAATTCCATGATATTCATCTTTTTCCTTTTCCATATGTGTATGGGATAATGATTCTGGCTAGCTATCTCTGATTCTATCCGGATAAGTTCATCAGAATGCATGGGACCATACATATAGATACTTATGTAACACATAATGATAACATGTAAGAAGATGTGAGAGTGTGAAACACAACTTACATGTGTGTGGGCGCAGTATTATTGGGACAGACCAGACGTGTTGTGTTTGAGGTTTATCCATCTGTCCGTCACTGGGTATTTGCTTCTATGGTGCTGCCTAGCTAGCGAGGAGGCTGCCCTTCGTATAGCTGAGCTTCTCGTACGTTGTACCCTCCTTATCTTTTTGACATC